ATAAATAAAAAATATTTTTTTAGCTTCTGTACAATTAAAAATCAAAAGCAAGTTTTGCCTTAATCAGCATGCAATTCTGACAATGAAAACAGAATAAATTCTTTCATATTCTGTTTGTTTATGTGATTATATTTCTACAAAAATACGTGCTTAGGATTAACCTTTGATATAAAAATAATATAAATAAAACAAAACAAAAAAATTATAGCCTTATTCACCTAAATGCACCAATCGCAGCTTTTCATATATACATCAGACGTAGTTTCAGTTTTAGAATAATTGTGTCAGAAAGGAAGTTAGGTTTAATTTACGAACAATCTTTTAAGGCTTTAACATGTTTAGAGATGGTAGGTCAGCAAACCAGATTCAGATTTTTATGTGCAGAAGAAAGTTGTTGAAATTTTGGAAGAATGTATCAACTGCAAGTTGTTGATGAAAGAGTACAATGAATAAACCATGTACTCTAAAGAACGAAAGATACACTGAATAATACACTGTACTCTAAAGAATGAAAGAGTACAGTGGGGACATCAGTCGTAAAAAAGAATAAACAATATATATACCTACCTTCTTGACAGGTAAGTTATTTACAAGATACTTGAGTTTCGCTTTCAAAGAAACCAAAATATTAAGAAGATAAATATCCTGAAGAACACATTTTCAGCACAAGATAGTATAAGAGACCTTTAAACCAACAGCAGAAATTTTTCCAGTTAATTTCCGCATTCCGTTCCTTTATGCATGCGGTCAGATTTCTAAGATCAGATTGTACATTTGTAACTAAGAAGAAAATGGCGGGAAACCTGTGCATCGTAAATTAAGAAAGATCATCAGGATTAAAAAGAAATTATTAATTAAAAAGAGAGATTAAAAAGAAAGTCGGTGGAAATTGGTTACATTTGGATGGTAGTATTTTAGCTTGATAAATTAAATGTTAAATTTAGTAATTAAGAAAAAGTTTCTCTGTGTAGTTTTCAGCTAGAGGGGTCTTATATGCTCATTTGTTCCAATTTCCCCTTCTTCTGTATTTAGCTATTTATTTCTTCTAAGTTACCGAACTTTTTTGGGGGGGATGATTCCCCCTCCCTAACTTATTCTGCCAGCAATTATATGATCGAGAATGCCCATTGTTCCCTCCTAAGCGGCAATAAAAGTTACGTACAGCACATTGTTTCTGCGCAACTTCAACGTTATGTACAGCGCATTGTTTCTGCGCAATTTCAGTTAGTTAAAATTGGAACTCCTAGCGGCGTGGCATACATGTTTGGATCCCGTATGGTCGGGAATTTATCATTTTCGATTTTAATTTTTAGTTGTGATACAATCGAACAAAATAAAATTGGTTATTGTTGTTGTAAAGTTCTTTACAACAGACTAACCGGCGACCTCAGAACACCCATGATCTGAGAAATCTGACGATAACTTCAGTGTATTCAAATTACGTGTGTGGAAGAGGTAACGCAATTAGTAATTCCGGAGATTTTGCATTATCTTCTAAACCAGAATTTCTGAAATTTATCCTTCGGGATCTTTTAACACAAGTATGCGAAAAACAGACGTTATACGAACAGCAGACAAATTTTCGATGGTCTTATTTCTTTCAAATAACCGGCGTATTGTTCGTCTCTGCCGGATAACGATATTTTTGCACAAATGTTTGCATTTCTGGTATCTTAATATTTTGATCATTTGGCTCAATTTTGAGCCTACTGACGCTGATAGCCACTCATTCAACTTATGGCCCACCAGCGGCCGAGCGGTAAAATCGCTGAACACTGGTAGTTCAGTCCGGGGTTCGAATCCCGCGAACGGGCTGGCTGCATGGGCGTTTTCGTGGTTTTTCCCATGTGTAACATGTATACGATCCAGTTTCCCTTAGAAAGTCCTCCACGAAGGCATCCCCTCCCCTTAGGCAGATAGCTCTACTGTGCTTTGCCGTATTCTCAATACACACTATACACCATTCAATTTATCCTTCAATTCGGTATTGCTGTCCGTTAACTAACACTAAATTTCTGCGAAGTAAAGAAACGGTTATCTCATTAGTAATTAATGAATCCTTCAATCTTAAAACTTCAGATGTCGCAAATTGGTTAAGATAAGATGAGATAAAAGCGTTCCTCTTTCCGTCAACTTAACTCTTTACGGCACAGTGTGTCCTGTCTGGACACACCTAAAATTTTTCTTCTGTATGCACAGAAAAATTGAATGAAAAAGGATTTATAGGTTACTATAGCTTACTCTAGTAAATATATTTTAGCCATGTTTATTTTTCAAAGAAATATTCCAGATTTTTTTTAGAGTATAAAAAGAATTGTTTGAAAAGAAATTTCTATTTTATTTTTTTGGCTGTATGCTAATCTCCTTATCCTACATTAGTTTAAAATTTTACCCTGAAATTTTGCCTAAAATCAAACTGCGAACCCTAGGTGTGCCCAGATCGGGCTCACCGATCATCTAGGACAACTGAGAGACTGTATTCTTTGTTTCTCCGCATCTCATCGGTCAGTTCATTCACAACAATGCTCGTTTCAGCACTCGTTTCGAAGCTCAATTCAATCAGTGGGCACACCCACAGAATTGAACGATAAGTGCTATCTTCACAAAAATTTACTTGTGTACTCCTCTAGGCCTAATTAAACTGCCTTTTTTTTAAAAATCAAAACTCAAACTTTAAAAGGTAGCGTGCCGGAAAGGGTTAATGATACCATCGCTATACCAAGGCCAAAAGTTCAACTTAGGTTAGAATAGATTCACTGTAAACGGCGAATCGCTTTTTAAATTGTTACCAGAAGATATTAGAGCCCTGTATTATATTTAAAGAAATTAATAATGAAGAATCTGCTTAAATGTATGCATAAATGTATCTTAATGTTTCTCGCATTTTGATAAAACAATGGTACCTAGAGCCATCCAATTTTGAATAACATATGTCTCCACCCGAATATGGGCATCCGGAAGCCCAGATTTAGTATTTGCTTTATTATCTATTTCATATTTTGTAAAGCATTTATGAGTTTTTGATTAAGATACTCAACGATTTCAAAGCGAGCAATGGCAACACTGTGTATCAGAAATTCTAAAGATATGCTCTTTTAAATATTTTGCGATGTTGCCGTTGAATTGAATTTTATACTTTAAGTTCGAAGGACATGATATTTAATAAATAAAGTTAACACACAAAACGGTAAAAAACACCCTTTTAGGCGTAATATAAAAAATAGTTTATGCCTTATTAATGATATGCTGAATCCTTCTCTCTGTTATTTTAATAATGGAGTAGTGTAGATTTGTATCAAATGTGGCTGGATCTTACTAGACTAGTGATATTTTCGCCTTTCTGATTCTGTGTTTATTTATATTATATCTTAATGTCTGTGCACGAAATTGAACCTGGGGTGGATAACCAGGCTAGAATGGCCTTGTAATACCGTTCTTTTCTCACGATTTCTGCGTTCGGATTTACCTCCTTTCCCCCCCTCTTCGCATCCGACCCCGAAGTAAGTTTGTACATGTACATCTCGGAGCCGGTTCATTCATAAAAATCTTTCATAGTAGAAGAGCCTTGGGCAGGTAAAGAAACGTACTCTCTCAGCGCCGTTCATTCATTGCGTTTTCGACACACGCGCTCACACATGCGTTCACGCAGTTTCATTCATAAAAGTCGTAGTACGGGTTATTTTTTTCGCCCGTCTCGCAAGCTGCGATTGGTCGGCGGTCGAATCGCGTGACGGAGCCTGGGAAAACAGGTGTTGGCTTTTTCTTCCCCCCTTTTTTTTAGTTTGTTGTTTTTACATCGGGCTGTCGTTTCGCTTCTCACAAGTTCTGTATTGGGGAGAAAGAATCTTTTCATGTTTATTACTTTATTTGCCAGCAATGACTTTTCTGACGTTTTTGTCCTGCTGGAGTTTTCTATTTCTGGAAACTTTTTTCGCTTGCATTCTGGCATATTTTAATAAACGCTTTGAAAAGTTACTTTTGAAATTCCTGAATCTGTTTATTTCTGTGTCATGTTCGCTTCATTCAGTTGATTTAACTTCTGAACACTAGTTTTTAAACTTAAAAGAATTTTTTTTTTTTTTTTTTTTTTTTTTTTTACGAATGATTAAAGTCTTCATTGATTTTTTTTTTGATTGTTTTTGAAACTTAATTTTCAGTTGTCTGGTACATAATGTACTTTACGATATAAATTATCATTCTTTTGTCATTTAGTTCTTTTTACTGTACACTTATCACAGTAAAAACAATACAAAACTGATGCACAGCATATGTTAGCGGCAAATATATGCACAAGATTTGTATAATTTTTCAAAATGTCTTATAAAGATTGCATGTGGAATCAAAACAGTAGGCTCTACATTCACATGTTAGGTATTTATAACGGAAACATGGGAATCAGAAAGATTTACTACCTTGTATTATAAATATATAAGAAAACTAGCTGATACATGCCCACTTTGCTGGGCACTCTATCTATTGGAATGTGAACTTAGACTTCTTATATGGACGAAATGTCTAATTTCCAACTTATAATTAATGTAATTTTTAAAATTTAAAGTCCGGAAATATAGTACCAGTCTGTGAATCTGTCATACACAGATTTCCACATCACCAATCAAGTACTGTGTTTTGGACTGCGTCCCTAGGGTGAGATACCCCATTAGGCCTACACCATGAAAAATTGCTAACATAAAACCAAGATTTATATATATTTAACTGTTATCACAAGTTTCATGAAAATAAATGTTATTATCTTTGTTATCCAATTTTTTAATCAATTATAATTATTTGAGTTGGATTTTTTATGTATGGCAATTTTTACAAATAACATTTTTAGTTTTCATCACAATAATTTATTTCTCTTAATAATAACATTCATTTTCATGAAATTTATGATAACAGTTAAATATAAATGCTATTATGAACATTATTATTTAAATGTTTTTTTGTATTCATTGGATAGATGCAAGTTATTTACCAATTTAATAATTTCAAAGAAAAATGCATTTATTGGCAACATTGTATTTCATATCTAGTTTTGGGGACAATAAAAGAAAATTCTGAACTTGGATTTGGAAACCAAATGTATGAGAAACTTCTATTGTATAAGTGTGTGTATTCTATTGTATAACAAAAACCCATTTTGGACAGGATTTACGTAAAATCCTTTCTTAGTGCGTGTCTATATCGGGGAATGAGTAACTATGCAAAATTTCAAGTCAATCGGATGTACAGTTTCAGAGATCTCGGGATGAGTCAGTGATATTTTGCTTACATATACATACATATAGATAGAAAGATTCAACGTTTTCATTTTCTTAGCATATGCATTAATCAACATGCATTTAAATTAATTTCTCTTGAGTTTACGTGCCAGTTCTTGCATGGGTCTGGTGTCGCCTTGTTTATTTCTCAGCCTTTTGACTAACCCGCACCATCTAAAGAAAAAATGAAAAACTTTAGTACCGCCACTACATTTTACAACAATTATTTTTCAGTTTTTGTATTAAATTGCACACATAAAAATATCTGATTAGAAATTTGTTACCATTTTAATTATCAAACCTTAAGTTATAATACTTTATAAATCTGAAATTTAGTGTAAAATTTGTGCCCGTTTAAGAAAGATAATTTTTTTTATGTCTGGTGTTATTTCACTTAGTTTTAACCGTAAATTAGCATCCACTTTTAATTTTGCTCTGTATTTATTTTTCAAATGCAACATGGAAGGAAATCCTTGTTCACATAAATAGGTTTTGCAGAATGGCAATAAAAATTTAATATGCTTATTTGAAATGCCTTTGGATTGTTTTTTCGGTTCAGACAAAAATCAACAAGTCTGTTATTTTTGAAATCATTCAGTTAGAGTTTGATCACAGGAAATTTCTATCTATTGTTCTTTTTCTTTAGGAGATTTTTTGAATTAAATGTTTAAAAATACTTTGTTTCTTTCAGTACCACTTATTTTTCTTTTCGGTTGAGAATCGCCGATTTAAAGCATTTCGATCCTAATCATGTTTGTGCTAGCCTAAATGCTGGTGTGTGTTTTACACTTCTGATAAAATTACTTATTTTTATTACTATGGTTGTAAATGACACATCAGTTATATGTATAATTACGAAGGTTTGTAACATCTTAGTATCATTTTATTTTTGGCTCATTCGCTTTTGATTTTTTGCTGGCGTTTCATAAATTGTAAAATCGATCGATAATTTTAATTTGAATATTATTTCAACATTAAAAATGTAAAATCAGTGCATGTTATTTCCATCATCAATCAGTTATTTCATTGAATATATATTTATTGATATATAAGATGTGGTGGTGTATTTAATTATGGTAAAGCACACTAGGGCTATCTGCCTAAGGGGAGGAATGCCTTCGTGGAGGACTTTCTAAGGGAAAACTGGCTCGTATACACGTTACACATGGGAAAAACCACGAAAACACCCATGCAGCCAGCCCGTTTGCGGGATTCGAACCTCGGACCGAACTACCAGTGTTCAGCGACTTTACCGCTCGGCCGCTGGTGGGCTATTGATATATAAGAAGATTATCATTGCTGCAAAGTTGTAGAGACATATGTTAATTGGAAGCAGAAAAGATGAAAATCAGCAGACGCCTTCGCCGGGAATCGAACCACGGACCTCTGGAATACCGGCCCAGCGTGCAGAACCACTGCACCACGAAGGACGCTAGGAAAGTATGAGAAATACCTTATAAAGTGAAATTAATTAAACAATACAGTATCTACCATTGGAACTGTAACGTGGTACATTATACCTTGTTGTGCACCAGCTTCTTTAATATCGTGTGCACATATAAAGAACATGTTAAACTTTCCAATGCTGAATTGTCCAATGTTAGATGCATGCTGTGGGCCACCCACTTGTTGAGATAAAAGTGATCGGTGAACTTAAAGTGTTTAAACATTCGATTTAAGATATATTCAAAGTATGTGAAATGATACAAGGAATCAAGCGTGCAGCTTTTAGTAAAATCACTTATTACTTGGAACATATCTATAATCGTTGACATCAAAGTATACTACCATTAAGTGTGTGTATTGGAGGGGGGCTGAGTACCTGTATTTATATGATCTTAAAAATCTCTCAAAAACAGGTAAGTACATATATTGGTTATCTCAAAAAACCTATGCTGAAAATTAAAGCTGAATATGCTGACAAATAAACAGTGAAAGAATGGTGAAATTTACATTCTACAATAGGAAGAGAATTAAAGAGCTACTATTGTAAAGCATTTACAAGTGTTTACAACAGAGACACATTCTTATTTTATTGTTAGTTGTTGTTGCTAGTTTGTTAGCCTAAGGGGCGTTGGACCAGAAGATCAAATTTGGTTGTGGCATTTTGCGTCGATTCACTGTAAATATCCATATCACTTTTGAAACTGTCGCCATCCAATATTATCGCCCTGTGTTATATTTAAAGAAATTAAATAACGAGGAATGTACCTAAATGTATGTGCATTTCTCGCACTGTGAATAAAACAACGTTACTTAGAAACATCAAATTTTGAATAATAGTGCTCCACTCGAATACGGGCATCTGCAAGCCCAAATTTGGAATTTGTTTTATTATCTTTTTCATATTTTGTAAAACTTTAATGAATTTTTTATCAATCACAAGCTCAACGATTTCAAAGCTAGGAATGGCAACACCATATGGGAAGAAAAAAAGTGCCTGACTCTGTATCAGAAACTCTAAAGATATGCTCATTTTAAAATTATTTTGATATTGTCGTTGAATTGAATTTTATGGTTTAAGTGCAAAAAAGGTAACACACAAAACGTTAAAATAAATCCTCTTTGGGCATAATATAAAATGTGAAACCTTACAGATTTTTACTTTTTTTTTTTTAATTGACAATATATATTGACTGACTGGGCCATATATGAGCTCATAGCCATAGGAGTTGGATATGATGACAAAGGAACTCTTCAGAGTTCGTCGTATGGATTCATAGTGAAGCTCGTAGTATGGATTTTAGTGAAAGGTTTTTCAGAATTCATGTTTAGAACTCACAGTGAAGAAAATTTCGAAAGTTACGTATAATTTTATGGCTGGGAAGGATATTTCTTAACTCATGTATGGGTTCATGTCCACCGTGAACCATTCCACCCTTTTTCTAGAATTCACATACGGATTCGTACACTAGAATGATGTATCTTTCGGAAAATTCGTGTATGGGCTCATAGTGAAATGTATTTCGGAACTTATAGATGGACCTCATAGCCTGTAACTTTCGAAACTCATGTATAAATTTACAGCCGGGTTAGTATTTTTTAGCCTTTTTGTATAATTTATTGCTGGTATGTTTATAATTGTGGAGACAGCTTCAAAGAACTAGAATGCAGGAAACAAATAACCCAAATTGATGTTTCTGGGAGCCCTAGCAACTGACGTCGCTTGAATTTTCCTTCTTCGAGGCTGTCGATGTGAATTCTCATTATTATTCTTATTCCTCCCCCTTCCCCTCTTCTTATCCATCTGAGGTCAGCTGGTGTCAGGCTTCTTCTCGACCGGTTTTCCAGAACCAGTTTCCATGCACGTGCCGCGACTCTTGGCGCGAACCGGGCGGAACCTGGAGAAGCTGTCCTCTGAAAATAGAAACAAAAGAATGATTAGGTGTTAAGCTTAATTAAAAAAAAAAAAATTAAACTCCAAACTACCTTTTTCTTGTCTTCGTTATAAAGAATTATCCACCATCCAGCACTCGATGTTTTTTTTAAAGGATATCATGGATGTTCTTTCATGTTGGCAAGTTTATGGTAAGAAGCCGTTTGTCTTTCAAAGATCTGTGCTATATTTGGAAAACCAAACTACTGTTTAGAAAGCATTTAAGAGCGTTGACTCTTAACTTCAGTAAACCTCACGCGTGGGCTGTTCATCTGCGATGCCTCAGTCGTGTGTATCTTAGGTGTTTGTTGATAGGTGTATACTGAGGCATCCCGATGGCAGATTGCTGAGCAAATGTACCGGAAAGACCTGACCATTTTGTGATTGTGTTTATGGGATAAGAAAATCTCTCTCTCTTTTTTTTTTTTTTTTTTTCCAGTTATTAACTTTACCAGAGCGTTTCAACTTTTTTTAGTCCAAAGGGATTTGAATCCCGAAGGACTATTAGTTTCGTTTTGGCATTTTGCGTCGGACTCATAAACGTCGGTTCACTTCTCAAACTGTTGCCACAAAAATGTTAGAGTCCTGCATTATATTTGAAGAAATTAAATAATGAAAAATCTGCATAAATGTATGTATATTTCTCGTATTGTGATAAAACAACGGTACATAGAGTCATCGAATTTTGAATAACGTAATCCTCCAACGAATATGAGCATGTGGAAGACCAAATTTGAAATTTGAAATTTGTTTTATGATCGATTTCCTATTTTTTAAAACTTTGACGAATTTTTGATTAACAAACTCGAGGATTTCAAAGCGAGCAATGGCAACGTTGTGCAGAAAAAACATTTTTATCTCCGACGCGTGAGTCTCTGTATCGGAAATTCTAAAGATATGCTCGTTTTAAAACTATTTTGCGATATTGCTGTTGCACTGGATCTCATGGTTTAAGTGCGAGGAACATGATATTTAATAAAGAAAGGTAACACACAAAATGTTAAAAAACGCCCCTTTGGACGTAATTTAAAATCTGAAACATTTCAGATTTTTTTTTTCTTTGCAATGCATCGTTAAAATTTCATGGTTTTTGCATTTGCAATTCAGGTTATTTAACTAATTTTTACTGATTAGAGCGGAATTAAAGAAAAATATTAGTATACGATTGTTAGACACGTGAGTCATATGTTAAAATGATGTGAATGTGAAGTATTCAGAGTTTTTGTTTTGCTTTTATAGGTTTTGGTTATTTGCTCCATTAGTCGAAATGGTAAACATCTTCGCTGAATTTTTGAGTTAGCACTTGTGTTGGCTGCTGCAGTTTTTTATGATAAAGGGTGGGCCATCTAACCTCTGGAATTTGAATCGGGACTCTCTCTCTCTATATATATATTCTTTTCCTTTCGCCGTTGTCGCCGCGTCTAGCTTGCAAAGCTGCAAGCTGTATATATAAATATATAACTAATGAATATTTTTTCAAAATTATGTGAGCTTATTAGAAAGACTGGACATTTTCACTTAAGAATGAAACACAACATCATTAAAATGACTGCCACGCTGGTTTTTTTCGATTGTTTGGGCTACAATATCATGAATGGCAACTTCGATTTCGTGTCGTCTCTGGGTGATTTTAGCGTAACACACTTGCCTTGAGGAAAAAAAATCCATCGGGGTCAAAGTGGTTTTTGGTCCGGCGGGTGTCTTCCTGTTTCCGCGAAATCATCAATCTTCGTTACCCCCTTTCGCAAAGGAGTTACATAGTGGGGGCGGAGGGGACCATGGCCTCTTCCGAAAGGCAGGAAAGGGAAAAAAAAAAAAAAAAAAAAACTGAAATGTTTCAGATTTTAAATTACGTCCAAAGGGGCGTTTTTTTAACATTTTGTGTGTTACCTTTCTTTATTAAATATCATGTTCCTCGCACTTAACCATAAGATCCAGTGCAACAGCAATATCGCAAAAATTTTTTTAAAACGAGCATATCTTTAGAATTTCCGATACAGAGACTCACGCGCTGGAGATAAAAATGTTTTTTCTGCACAACGTTGCCATTGCTCGCTTTGAAATCCTTGAGTTTGTTAATCAAAAATTCGTCAAAGTTTTAAAAAATAGGAAATCGATCATAAAACACGCAGATTTTCATTATTTAATTTCTTCAAATATAATGCAGGACTCTAACATTTTATGGCAACAGTTTGAAAAGTGAACCGACATTTATCCGTCCGACGCAAAATGCCAAAACGAAACTAATAGTCCTTCGGGATTCAAATCCCTTTGGACTAAAAAGAATTTTTAAAAGAAATAATCAAAAAATATTTACAATCTCAGATCTTTGCATTGAATGAAGCTAATATTGTATTTAAAAGGAGAGAGAGACATGTTCAAACTCCGCAATGATTTTGGCAAAAGATTGTTTCCTGAACTAAAAAAACAATATTCTTCCAAAATTCTGCATAAAGGTGAGTTATAATAAAACCTTTCAGAATAAATATTCGTTTTAAAACGACGTTCTTTCTTCTAAAACGACGACTTCTTTGGTATTAATTGCGCTTTTGCAGCTTTTAATTCTTTATGCAAATCCAATAAACTACATTTTCCTTATTTTTATTCTGAATTCGATACTGATAAACTTTGTAAAGGGCTAAGGGTTTTTTTCATTTTAGTTTCAATAATGTCGAAAACATTCGTGTTGATTAACATAAGATGTGAAAATAACAGCTAGTATTGTAGCAGAATTACAAATGGAATGAAATTTAAGATTAAGAGGAGCCTAAACTAAGACACGTCTTCAATCTAACGAAGACTAAATTATTCACAAAGGAACTGCCCAGCTCTTCTTAGTGAATCATCATGACATCTCCTGAGGAGCTGTGGGAGGGGTACTGTACTCTCCGATTTCGCGGGAACAGGAAGAATTTTGAAAAACGCGGAAACAGGAATCGTGGAAACAACAAATTCGGTCCGGCGACATCATCGGGACATTTTTCCTCTAAAATGAGCAAGGAGCCGCCGTTACCGTCAATAGCGAACGTTACCGTGCCATGCTAAATGAATTTTTGTTTCCAAAAATTGAAGAGGATGATATGGGTGACATTTGGTTTCAACAGGACGGGGCCACTTGCCATACAGCCAACGTAACCAACGATACATTTTTATCTCCAGCGCACGAGACTGTATTGGAAATTCTAAAGACATGCTCATTTTAAAATTATTTTCCGACATTGGTGTTGAACTGAATTTTATGGTTTAAGTAAGGACAATGTTTTCGACTTGTTTCCTTAGAATAAATCTATTGGCTTAAGTCAACACAATCTGAAACTCTTCTGAGGTTTTGGATAAGATCGGGTCTTCGAAGCAAACCGAAACTGGCTTGGATGGGTCAAACAACGAGGTTGAAAATACATGCCAGACTCTTTGTTTGATCCATCTTACTCGACACATGCATTAGGAAACTTCTGTTTGGCATTTTTACTCAACAGACGAGGCAACTGGAGTTTTTTTGGTCGGGATTCGAACCCTAGACCCAATTACCAGTGTTTAGCAGCGACTTGACCGCTCGGCCGCTGATGGGCAATTATGCGCCCGTGATATTATTTACTATTTACTGTGTATTATCCCTGAAGAAGAAAGACCCACGTATACCTCACGTAAAAAACACAGAGCTTTTCTGTAGAACTAAGATCAACTTTTAATTTTGTTTCATTTTAAAACTCCGATTGGTATGCTTGTCTTCCATTATACTGTCCTAGACTCTCAGAAGCAGTTAAGAAGTTAGTTATCAAGACCTCATCACTGGTTTTTGTCCTTCCCTTTCTTCCTCGAGACCCCCTCGCCTCTTTATGGGCAGAATTATTTTTCTCACCGATATTATGGCCTAAGGCGACTTAACCTCAAATACGAAAACCAGATCCTTCCTTTTTAATTACCAGTTGTGAAATCTGTAGGCAGTCGATTTCCCACGACTGTCTTCAACTCTTTTATTTTTCTGTTCCTTCCCATTCTTCGTCTTTCAGATTTTTATTTTCTCTCCTGTGGTATCGCGTGTGCATTTTAAATCATTTTTGAAAAGGCTGATTTTATCGTTGTATTTCTGCCGGGGAGTTGGCAGCACTCTACGCGTTTCGTTTGTTTGTTGGCTTTCTGTCACGAATCTTCATTTGCTTGTTCAGTTCACTGAAGCACGGAACGTTTAAAACTGGTCCGTCCGAGAGATTTTTAAAATGACGTGCGTCGTCTAAATGACTCAGGACAGAACATCCACTTGTCGAGAACTACCTTTTGATGTCGTCCTTTTTATAGTGCTAAGGAATATATATATATATATAATGTTGTATGATCTTAAATTCATTAATCAATGTTGTTTAGGACTAAAAGACAATTGAGGAATTATCACTATGTCTTGTGGATACCTCAGAGATAGGGAAAGCGCATAAAGGACGCTTTATTTATTTTTATTATTTTATTTAGAAGGTCTCCCACCTCTCTTCCCCTACCACAACCTCTCGAGAGGACTTTCGGCTCACACATATTTAAAGTGCTCTCATGTTGCACGGACGTTATACGTTTACAAACAGTCAGAGTTACTAACCACTGTCCCGGTTGGACGACAAAAGTTAGCTGTTGAACAAAGTAGTCTTTGTTTTATTTGATACTAGCGGAAGTACCCGATGCCAGTTAAATTAGATTGAGAGTAATGTATCGATAGAAAAGAGTAGTATATCGATAGAAAAATAAATTAATTCTTTCTCATTATATCAGCAACAATGGCATGCAGTTTTTAATGAGTTGCGGCTTTAATCAAATGGTCGTGAAAGCTCAAGTTCCATCCAATATTTCACTTATATTCAATTTTAGTCGATTAAATGTGGCAAAATATTGATCATAATTGGTAAGAAATCAATAACGGGAACAAACACAAAAATAGGCATTCTTCTTTATATATATAATAAGATTTTGTAAAACTTACACAATTTTGATTAAAAAA